GTGTGTGTGTGTGTGTGTGTGAGGGGGACAGGGTCACATCACAGGAGAGTGAACTGCCTGTCAGAAATCATAGCACGTCAGCTGTCTTAACCGCGGCTTGTGTACTGCATCATCACTGTGTCTGTAAATTTCCGACTCGTGCTTGTGGTGTTCGGCCAATCACAATGCACTGGTTCAGCTGGCCAATCAGAGCAGACTGTGCTTGTCAAAGGAGGGGGCTTTGTTGAAAACGACGTGTGTGAGAGAGGCGGGGCATAGAGGACCTACAATAATGTACAGTATTTGAAAAATAATGTTTTTTGAACATTAAAGCATGTCAACATATTCTGTTACACCAAATACACAAAATAATGATCTTTAAAATAGCATCATACAATTCTCACACCAGTATTTTTTATGAGCAAGTATTTGTAATTTGTAACAAAATACTTTTTGATGTATTTGTGCCCATCTCTGGGTAAAAGTTTAACCTATAGGGGGCAGTGGAGTAAACTGTCAGCTTAATCTAGGAAACTGCACCATTTGTGATGTAAAAGTATATAAATTATTTGAGTTAGCCACAATTTAAAATGGTGAGTATGTGGTAAAGTGTGTCAGATCATGCTAATAGTAAGGTATTATAGCAAGCTTTGCATCCAAATGCAGAAATTACATCAGCATCATACATTTCCTCTTGAGGGAATACTGGTCAATAGATATTCAACCTTCAGATAAAATTATCAAGTATTTGTCCTAATAAATAATGTGTTAGACATGATGCCTCATAGTAACGCAGCTACCTCAGTATACTGCAGAAAGGAGCAACACTTCATAATATCCCTGTATGCCCTGGGAATATTGCTTTATTGCATTAAAACAGAATATTCATTCATTACTGGCCTGTTATGAATATCTTTAGGAAAAAGCAAATAATGCCCAACAATACAAGACTTTGTAATAGGAACAGTGAATTAATTTTATAGGTAATTCAGGAGTCTTCAACCTTTTTCAGGCTTAGAATCCTGTGGTGGAGAGAGAGAGCTGCAGAGACTCCCCGATAAACCCTGTAGAAAACAGTGTGTTAAGCCTAACCTATAACGTATATTTATTGTACCCTATTACAATGGTGTTCATACAGGGTCTGATCAAATTTAACATTTAGCAACTTTAACGTTTGGCTTTCATTAACTTAATACTGCATTTCATTTAGCATGTTTCACAGTTTGAGATTTAAATTTGTTTGTTTTAATTTAAGTTCTCCCCTAACAATAAATCAAAAAACGCTGCCCTGCACTCAATGCGCTGTACCAAAAAATCATAAAAACCTACTGAACATAACATCTGAAAAATTAATTAATGAAATCATTCCACAAATCAATGGTCATTATAGCGCACAAAATTAAATTCTAAGGTTTAATTACAATAATTTAGACATTTTAATACATATCGGGTGTGATTCATGTTTAAATATTAAATTGCTGATGCTCTGGTTTACTTTTATAGTTTCAGTATAATTCTATAATCACAACAGAACACTTTTGGGCATGAAAAAAAAGGCTTAAAAGGGTCATATGATGCAATTTCAAGTTATCCTTTCTCTTTGGAGTGTTACAAGCTGTTCGTGCATAGATAAGATCCCTAAAGTTGCAAACACTAAAGTCTCAAACCCAAAGAGATATTCTTTATAAAAGTTAAGACTGGTCCACGCCCTCCTAAAAACACGCCCCCACATGTCTACGTCACAATGTGGGAAGATTTGCATAACGCCGGCCAAATGTTCACGCAAAGAAAGAAGGCGTAACTTTGATTCTCGCTGTAGTATTGTTGC